TTTTTTTTTTTTTGCATTGTATGAGTTTCTTTTATATTTTATGTATCAACCCTTTATTGGTTATATCATTTATGAGTTCCTCCCATTCAGTAGGTTGCCTTTTTCTTTTTTGGATTGTTTCCTTTGCTGTGCAAAAGCTTTTTAGATTGATGTAGACCCATTTATTTTTGCTTTTGTTGCTTTTGTCTGGTGAAACATATCCACAAAAGTATTGCTGAGATTAATGTTAAAGAGCTTACTGCCCACATTTTCTTCCAGGAGTTTCATGGTTTCAGGTCGAAGTCTTTAAGCCATGGTGCCTACCCCCATTTACAATCCCACCAGGCACTCAAGGGTTTCCTTTTCTTCACATCTTTACCAACACTTATTGTTTGTTTTCTTATAAGAGTCATTCAGAAAAGTGTGAATTTATTTTTTTACATTTTGTAAGAAAGTGGTGCAGTTTCATATTTTTGCATGTATCTGTCCAATTTCCAGTGTGTTTTTTTGTTTGTAATAGTCTGCCTTCAATTTTTATGTCAATAATAGCATTGCCTTCTGAAATATATTTTCTCTGTTTTATGTCCACATAGTACAATTTAGTTCATGGATCATAGCAATGATGTTCTAGAGCAGCAGTTCTCAACCTGTGGGTCGCGACCCCTTTGGCGGTCGAACGACCCTTTAACAGGGGTCTCCTAAGACCATCCTGCATATCAGATATTTACATTATGATTCATAACAGTAGCAACATTACAGTTATGAAGTAACAACGAAAATAATTTTATGGTTGGGTCACAACATGAGGAACGGTATTTAAAGGGCCAGAAGGTTGAGAATCACTGTTCTAGAGCCTTGCTCAAAAGTGAGATTATGTGTAATTGCTTTTACATTTAGCAGTAGGGCATTTATTTTCTTAATTGGATTCCCATTTGTTCCCCAATGTGTTCTTAGAACCTAACAAAAACAGACCAGATTTTCAGTATTACTAAACAAATGAGTAAATTAATAATAAATGTCAAATATCATAAAATATTTTGACTAGAAAAATCACTATCCCACTTATATGATAGTATGTATGATTTTGATTTTAAAAATGAAAACTTTCAACAAAATCATTACACATTACTTTATAATAAAACACAATTCCTACTATAGGTCACAGGTGATTTTTCTTATTTTCTGCAGAAATGAGTCGGTAATAGAATAGCAATGGTGTTTTCTATGGAGAAAAATTCTAATACATTTTCCTTGGTCCTTAACATCTTCCTGGTGTTTGTTCAAGTTTGGACAAAATACGGGAAATGCTCCCAAACAGATACTGTCTCAGCCCTCCTAGAGCTGGATTTCTAATGTCATCTTACATGGTCTGCCTTAACCAGGCATTTGTATGATGGAATCTGACTATTCCATCATATGTCTGATCACCTTATTCTGAAATTTCACAACTGAGTGACCTAGAAACATTAGAAGTGGACAGTAGCACTAGTCAAATATGCCTGTGTGAATGTCGGTGTGACTAAAAATATGGCCATATTGTTTGGGATAACAGAACACGAGTAATTAATCTGGAAGACACTTTAGACTTTATCCAGTTCAGCTCCCTTACTTTATGGGTAAAGTCATTGAGCCTTAGGAAGTTTAAGACACAAGTGTAAGTTCACCCAGCTAAACCATATCTCAAGTCTTGTTTCCAAGATCACATGTCTTGAAATCATTTGTATAAAATTGCTAACTTAAAATTTGCAGATGAGTCAAATTGAAAAGTCTATTACTACTTTTTAAAATGTCAAACTAAGCAAATTAAATGTAAAATGTTTATCAATTAGTATTCAAACTGAACCAACTCTTGGGAAAGATAGTGTCAACAAACGGGCAAAATGGCAACCCTTTATTAAATTATTAAATGCACTTGGCAATTTTTGTCTTTGGTTTGCAATAAGGAAATTTGAGGCAAGAAAGAGTTGGGTGTTTTTAGTTGTTTTTGTTATTGTTGCTTAAACTCTCTAAGCTTAAGGAAGTAAAACACACACACACACACGAAATATTTTATCAACCACATACTAGTATATAAAGTAAGAGAGCAAACAAATACACAGAAAGCTTTATTTAGTTAAAAATTTCAACTGATTAACATAAAGTATAATACTGATTAAACATTGTAAAGGATTGTTTAAAAAGTGCTGTTTCTAACTGTGCTGCTGGGTTGTGTTTTAGGCTGTTTTTGAATACCTAATTTAGGTTAATACTTCAATGAATAAAAGGACTCATGATGATTTTGTGAAAATTTGCCAATATTATAATGCAAAAGAGTTTTAAATTTGTGTGAATTTAATGACAAATTTCAAAGAAGGAATTTATTGCTACTGAAAAAAGTGATGCTTATATTTTAATAATAAGTTATGTTTAGGCCATGAAACTCTTATTCTGCTTTAATAATAATGAACTTTGGCTGAGTATGGCTGTGTCACTGACTATGTCAATGTAGACATTCTCTCTCAGATTCAAGCACCTAATCCTATGCTAAAGAATGAAAGCAATAATACAAGGTAACCTTTGGTTTGCAGTTACTAATATTCAAAGGAAAATATTTAAGTTCCCTTATAAATCTCACAGACTGTTTCAGTCTTTATTTGTAACAGAAAATAAATCCTCCAGCTGATCTGCTAATGCAGATGATAAACTATCACTCAGTCTAATTTGCACTGGAAATAATTATGCAGTCAGCTTTGTATTAATTCATTTTAATCAATTCTTGAACCTGGAAATTTAAACATCTTCCCACTGGGATTTCTGCAATAGCTGTTACCCTGTAGCTCTTCCAGACAGTTTGCAAAATATGCAGGCTACAGCACCAAGTGCCATGTTAGCTCAGGAGTCAGGAATGATGGAAAAATCAATAACATTGAAAATGATACAAAAAGAATGATTTTGGGTATATCTATTATTGTGGGTCTCTATTTGTAGCTGTAACAAAAATTTCTAGTGGCAAATGTCTACTTAGTTCACAAATCTAGACTCATTTCAATTTGACATAGAGCTATATTTAATGGCAAACCAAAATGGGAGTCATCTCTATCTGCCCTGGAGGGAAGGAAACATTCTAATAAGAGAGTGCACTCCAGCACTTCAGATCTTAAGTCATTTCACCTTGAACTCTTTCTGGGATTCTGTAAGGATTCTATCAAAGACTTAACATACATTTCATTTTTATCAGAATGATATGACTACAAGAAACACCTAATTGCTGAATTTAGATTATGCAGTGAATTGCCACGTTAGTGCTAAAAACATGTTCAAGAGTTAAATCTAATCCAAATGATGTTTTAGTCCCAAATATAATGAATTAGATTTTGATACTTAGATTTCATGGTGATTGCAAAAAAAGGATATTGCAACATACTAAATTTAAACTTTCAAAGGCTTTCATTTTAGTCAGCAATTTGGAAGTTACCTGATTTTGCTTCAGCAAAATATTTTTCTTCCTACTCATAATTACCTAATATAACCAGATTACTGAGTGTCTATTAAAGTAAATATCATGCTAAACAGATAGATCATGTTACATAATAAAAAGAAATAGTTCTAGTAGCATAAGGTAAATGAAACAGCTAGATCTCCTGAGAATACCTTACTAATTTCATACAGGGCCAGAATGGATTAAGATTCATTCTTAAGTAAAGAGACTGAATCTTACCTTAAAAAAAAAACTAATTTTCATTGCTTTTCAAAAATATACAGTAAAATAAACATGACTATTGCCAATTAGTGGGTATTTATAACTAGCATAAATGAATAAATATAAATAATTTATAATTAAAATATTTTTTTGAAAATAGATATTTATATAGGCTTCATGTCTATGTTTAGTTTATATATAGCACACTATATATTTTATATATTTGTATATATGCTATTAATTTTTCTTTAATTCTTATTATTGGTATATATATCTAACTATATTTCTAATATAATTATGCATACCAATATTCATCTGTCCATCTATGTATCTCTGTCAATCTAACTAACCATCTACTATCTATTCAGCCACTTGAAAAAGTCCTTTATCCATAGTGGCCAAAATAAATTTGATTTACAAATCTTTTATAGATAAATATTATGAATGTGAATCAGAGGTCATTCTGCTAAAATGATCACAATTCACCATTTTGAAATGATAATTACTAAGGTGAGAATACAATTATGCAGGGTGCAACCAATTGGAACATGTGAGTTAACTGAAAAACAAACAAACATGGAAATATAATCAACAAATCAGAGGCAAGTGCACTTTTAGCACTTTTAAATAATAACTACAAAGCTACTCTTTCTGTTGACTTTTAGTGTTTACTTCACTGAGAGCCTGGTTTTATCCTCAGCCTTTCTTACTCATTGCTGACCTTTTCCTGTCATTTGATGTTAAATACCATGCAACAAATGCATCACCAATGCAACATGGCCTGAAGTAGATTAGTACATTGAATATGACCATGAGCAGTAGATCTAATTCTTGACTTAGCAGAAACTAAAAAGGTCTTATTTATAAGCTTCCTTTATTCCTTCTCATTTTTCTAGTACATTCATTTACTAACACATACCTTGAGTAATAAAATTAGTGATTTTAGCATTTCATTTTCACTAAAACCTTTGTTTTAATGTTTATCAGTAAAAGGCAATGACAGAGTCTTCTTGATTGTGAAAAATCATTGTCAGGACAAGTCCTTTCTATGCCTCATATCTTAGGACACACTAATTTTTGAGATCACCTCTAAGGCCTTCTATAGAAGGTGATATCTTATTGAGAAGGAATAAATGGTTAAAGTGTCTTTAGTTTTCTGTGTTATGCTTGTATTGAGCAATGATGAACAAGTAACATAGACATATGAAACAATACAGTTTTGGTATATTCAACCTATGATATAATTATCATGAATATCCCACGTATTAATATGATGATATAATATGAAATAGTTTAATATCTTAGTTATTAAGATTGGAAGATAAATCAGTAGTGGACTTAGTGGACTATGAATCATTGTTTTATTTGATGATACAAAAGTTAGCATTATTAGAAAATCTAGAGACGTTTCCTTGTCTTTACATATGTTGAGACTCTCCCACTTCTCATAGGCAAGAGACAGAATGATATAGGAAATAATACATGTGACTTTTAGACTCATTTATTTACAAAAACAAAAACCTACTACAAAAATGTACTAAGGACTCCTTCATGCTTAGCATTCAAAATGGGAAAACCCAGAAGTTCTTACCAATACATAACCAAGCCTCTTTGGTTTTCTTTATTTGGAATGATGGGACTGATCATTTGATTGAATTGACACATGTCATTTACCTATAAAATCTGTTTCAAGATTGTGATTATGTTGCTTAAATAGCAACATGTCAAACTTGAAAAATTAGTTTTTGTTTCCTTTGTTGTTTATATATATTTTTTTATTTTTTGGTTTCCAGGCCATGCAATAGTATTCAAAGTTCCCCACGATAGTGATTTCTGCACAATTTATTCCTCAAACATAGCTGCACAGTGGAATCACCTGGAAAATTTAAAAAAAAAAACTGCCAATATCTGAGTTCTACCCCAGATATTATGATGCATTTAGGATGGCAACCTGGGCATTGGGTCTCATAATATCTCCCCCAGGTGATTATAATGGGCAGCAAACTGGCATCTCTGGGGGAATATAACTATGATATTCTTATTACAACTCATTGCTGGATTGCCACCCAACTTTTTCAATCATTCCATTTACTGAAAAGATGGTCTCCCGCTCTGGTGGTGTAGCTTAGTTGGTTGGGCATCATCCCATGCATCAACAGGTTGCTGGTTTGATTCCCGGCACATACCTGGGTTGAGAGCTTGACCCCCAATAGAGGGCGTGCAGGAGGCAGCCAGTCAATGTTCCACTTTCACATTGATGTTTCTCTTTCTCTCTCCCTTTCCCTTCTTCTCTCTCTAAAAATCAGTAAAAATATATTTTTTAAAATGATGGTCTCCCCTTCCCTTTCTTCTTTCTCACTATAGAACTTTCTGTCAAAATTTGAATGTGCCTTATCTAACATCAATTACTCTGGCACATTTATTCTGTAATTTTTGTAAACAGGTACATTTTTATACATGTTATAGACAAAGACAATAACTTTTAGCAGTATTTATTTTTGTTAAAAGAAACTGATGGAATTGAAGGTCAAATTGCCTTCTGATTGCACAGATTAAACAAGAAAGTATTTCATATTTTAGCTTGACAAAGCATCTTATTGATTTGAAAAGATCCATACTATTGATAAAGTTCATGATGCAACATATATGTAATAAGAAGGCTAAAATATTTATTTTACATATCTACAACATGTATTCTCATCTTTCTAGATCAACCACAAATCATACAGGAAAATATTTAGGTACATGAAAAAGTTTCATAACATAAGAAAATTACATTTTGAAAAAAAATCACATGTAAAAGCTCATTAAATAATAACATTGACAAATAAATAGTTAATCAACTTTACTTATTAGCTGCTGCCATGCATTTCTGGCATTCCATTCCAAGCGAGGGTCAGCATGCAGGGTATAATTTCATACTATGAGACTGTAAAAAGCTTCAGGGCTTATTTTTGAAGTGAAATGTCACAAGGTCTTTCATTCTGTCAAAGGAAGATCACTCATGGCTGCTAAACTGTTCCATGAAGATTGCCAAGAAAAAGAAAAAGCACCCTTCTGAAGTATTGTAAATACTCAAGGCAACAATTTTTTTAACTTTTCACTTTGGGAGGGGTTTGCTGGGTAGGGGGATAGGTGGGGAGTGCAGGGTAACTAAGAAGCCCTTTCCTTTTAAAAAGTGATTATTCAATATATAGCATATATATATATATATATATAGTATCACCGGTCTTTCAAGAATCATGGTAAATTAAAACTACGGGACGCATGGAATTTAAATACAAATTGCACTCATGGATATGTGTACATCTTGAAAAACCTGTAAAGGACAAGCTACTCCCAAAGAAGGTCCTGATACTTAGGACAGCTTGCTGGGTTTGATCAAAGCAGAAAGCATATATTTTCAAGTAAGAAAATAGCAATGGCAGACTTGAGTCTTCCAAGGAATCAAATCTGTAAAGCAGATGGTTACCAATCAGTCCAGTTTTAGAGTCTGAGTTCTAACTCATGCTGTGCTTGCTGGGCCTGCTGGCTCTCTTCCGCTCTCTGTGGTGCTGGGCCGGCTCGGCAGGCGACATGCTCTCGAAGTTATGGCTGGACTCGTTGTGCTGCCGAGTGTACCTCTTACACTTGCAGGCAGTGACCACGGTGATTTTGTAGGTGCGCGTGCTGCCATCTTGGCACTGCAGCTGGATCCTCTGGGTGCGCGTTTTGTCGTTGACACACCGCCACTCCTGGGAGCTCCTCCTGCTCCAGTACTTCGTTCCATAGCCTCCTCCGATCCAGTTGGGGAGCAGCGGCAGGGGCAGGCACTCCCCAGCGCACACCAGCTCCTTCAGAGGGCTGAGGCTGGTGCACTGGCCATCAGAGATGTATTTGGTGGAACGCAGTTCCCGGCAACCCACTTGAACCCGAGCTGCGGGAAACAGAGAAGAGAGTGTACAGAGGTATCAGCAGATGGACATTTCTTAAACGTAATCTGCAGTGACAAAGATGTTATGCAAGTGATAGCAAATTGCCCAATAGAAAGAAAATACTCATTTTATTTCCACAATGCAAAAATCTGCCTGGATGGTGGTAGAGACACTTTCATGGAAATGATCCATTTACATGGCTATAATTTTTTTTTGGAATAAAGTAAATGAGGCCATACTTTTGTTCACATATAGCATTAGCTAATTGCTTACTCGAGGGAGTATTTGAAAATCCCATTTCTTAGTCTCACTCCCCAGTATGGTTTAAGCAGCTCTTACATTTAAGTGTAAAAAAGAGTATGTTTTAATGTTCGTTTTGCTCACAGGTCATATTTGTTAATGTCTACAATTGCTTTTATTTAACTATTTTGTTTAGAAATCTATTGAGTAAATGTAGAAAGTATTTAAATACTGTGTACAATGCAGATGATGTCTGTAATATTTTGTTTCAGTTATAAAACTTAGCTGCAAAGAATCATAAATACATGTGTACAGTCTGACATCTTGCATATCACACTTAATAACTACATTTTAAACATAAATTCCCAAGCTATCCTTTAAAAATGCAAATATTAAAATGCTTGAAATGCAACATGTCACTACAACTCAAAATTTAAAGAATATAAAACCTTCTAAATCAGGAACGTATGGTTGCCATAACAACTTGGCTACATTTCCATGAATTTTATGGCAGAAAAATGCCTAACATGTCTGATTTACAACTGCAAAAGGAACCACAGTGCTCATTTAGTGAATATTGGTCATGGCAAACTTTTTGTTTAGTTATTTGAATTTAATAAGAATGTTCTTTAATTGGCTGCTTCTTGTTGCATGCTTTATGTAATTGAAGCAAAAATTAATCTTCAAATATTTGAGGTTTCCTTTCCATTGCTTTGTTATCTAAACTTGAGGAAAATTGCCTGTAATAAGCTGGAAAAAAAAAAAAGCAAAGCTTGTTAACCAGAAAATAAAAGTTTAAAAGTATAACTGCTGACATTTAAAACATTAAAAATTATCAAGGACACTGAAGTGGTCTTGCATAGACTCGTGAAAGCTAATTTGAAGTAAGTCTTGAACTAGGAGTTTCACTTCACCTCTGTGTCCCAGTATTTCTGAGGCGAGAAATATAACCAAAAGGGATGTGATAGTTGTAGAAAACGTACGTATGCATACATACATACATACATATAGCTATAGAGTGTGGGATTAAAATCAAAGGGTACAATCGCTGGCCAGACAGTGTGCTCTCCTGTCTGCCTCTGATTCCAGCTCACCTTCCGGCAGCTACCTCAGGAATGCACCTGGAATCAGCCAGAGATGATTCTGACTCATCTGGCTTTTTGTTCCTGTGTACATAGAGATTCAGCATTTTTGCAGTGACAGTTCATTGACCATGAATACCCACCGCATTGCTCAGTAATCTAATAATTATCAGATATTTCCTGTGTATGCAAAAGCATCTATCTCCATGAAAGTTAAAACACCTTGGTTTTTTTAGCCCTTTGCAGTCATATGTGCTTTGACCTTTCAAAGGTCAAAACTACTTTTCACAGTTGAATGGAGTTGAGGAGGAGGAGCAAAAAAATGTTGTAAGATTTCCTGTGCACTATTTCTCTGGGTCTCTCTTAAAACCTGATTATTAGCATGTGAACTCTTCTGACGGATAGAAGTGAGGAAAAGAAATTTAAATCCCTCTAACTAATGGTCAGTGTGTCAATTAAGCACGCAGAAAAGGGCAAAAATGCTCCCTGTTTCACAGAAATATACAATAACCTGAATTTTGACCTGGTTAATAAGAAATTATCTCAGAAAAATATGATTCTCCAGCCTGTTTAGTTTTAGCCCTTATTTGCATTGATTATCATCAAAACTTTCAACTATTTCCCTAGACATGTTTTAGAAATTCATGGTGAGCAATTATTCCCCCCAGAAAGCATCTTTTTTTCCCTTGTGATTTCTTATACATACTTTGGTTAGTTACCTTTATGCATTTTACCAGAATTGCACATGTCCTGAAATAAACAGAAAACAACCTCAATTTAAACTATCTAGAAAAACACTTTTTAAAAATTCTTACTGTGCATGATTTAAAGAAGCAACAGTTTAATTCCTGGAAATATTTTCTCTTTGGATGTTTGATAAAACTTACTAGTAAGTCTGTGCCTGCATTATCAAATCACTGTTTTAGTTATGCTAACTCTATAGAAACAATGCCAATCTACACATGCAGTAGATTACTCCCAGATTATTTAGCAAAATATATATGGTTCCAGTTAGAAAGCAGTGAAACAAATTTACAGGACTGTGAGATAAATGCTACCAAAAAAAGAAAAGACAAAATCCATAGAAGTAAAACATACTTACTGTTCCGATCCAGTCCAGTGTTACTGAAATGCCTGCCTCCATTTCTGGCTTGATTCAGCGTGCTGTTGCTGCTGGGGTGTGCTGAAACAGGTTTAACCACATGTGAATAAAGAATTTCTGTGGCATCATTTTTAAAAGCCAAACAGCTTTTCATTAGGATGCAAGCAAGGGAAATGAGATAGAAATGAATGGCAGGAGGAAGCATGGTGAGTAGAGGATTTGCTTGGCTGGAGAGCTAGTTAATTCCTTTCCCTCTGCTTCTGCACTGTAACTGTGAAATTCCTCCTCAAGGTTCCCTTTATATATCCCTGAGGTTTGGCGTTCATTCAGGTGTAAAGTTGTGTAGAGCCTCAGAGTGAAAACACAGAGAGGGGGTGGGATCCCTACATGACCCTGTAAAAGAATTTTACCAATGGAAGAGGAGACTACAGAAAAGGAGGAGCTTGGTATACAAATTGCCTGAAATTTCGGAGTTGGACTTCATCAGTTGTCTGTCGGCTGCAGCAGCCCGGCACATTCTATAGCAGCTACAGACTCTTTTCCTCTCTCCCTGCCATTTCCTTTCCTGAATCTAGTTCCCATTCGGGTTTAATTTCAATGAAAACACACTGCTGCTCATTTGAAAAAATTTACATTTCCACAGTTGTTCTGTACTCCCCTAAGAGTTTAAATTATTTGGAATAGGGAGCGGGTTTGCCCTAGATAATAAGAGGAATTAAAGCGAGTTTAAATATTGTAGAACTGGCCTGAAGCACCTAGTTATATTTTGTTTTCTCAAGAAGCAAACCAATATATATTTTTTCTTTAAAGTGTGAGGCACAGGGCTAGAATCTGCCCCCTGGACACACTTAAATAATGCAGCTTTGATCTGCATGAACTGTGGCACAGCTAGGTAAATTATTGCCAGGGGTCTGTGCAAAGAATAATGAGCATAGCTCTGTCTGCATTAAAGTAATTAATATCCATTTTTATCTTAAAAATATGTCACGAGCATTAACATTCATAGCACCATTTTACATTAAAGAAAGCCCATTTCTGACAGGTTATTGTTTAGCAAATTCAAAATAATGTTTTGTAGTGTTCTACCCAATTTACTAAGTATTCCCTTGATTCTGCTGCCCATGTAAGAAACATTTACTTTTATGAACTTCTTTATCACACCTGGAACAGTGTTCTATTAATTAATACTAGGCCACTCTTCTCTATACTTAAATTTCATCGGATTTATGGGACACTTAGATTGGAATAATTACATATTCTGAGTGGTCTTTTCAATCATAAATCTATTTTGCCCTTTGTGTGGCTACTAACAATGACATTATTATTGACATTGTTAGTAGCCACACAAAAAGCATGGATATTTTGTATTGCTCTTCTTTATAAACTTTTGCCCATTTTAACTTCTATTCAAATCTATCTATCTATCTGTCTGTCTATCTATCTATCTGCATTTTTCCACAGTAACACTATTGACATTTTGGGATAGATAATTCTTTGTTATGGGGCACTGTGTTTTGCAGCATACGTGGCTTCTACTCACTAGATGCCAGTAGCAACCCCTAGTTGTAACCAAAAATGTCTTCAGATATTCACAATTGTCCCCGTGGGTGAATATCACCTGAAGTTGATATTAGTAGAACTACTAATTATCTATCCATCTACCTATCTCACTATAAAAAGAAAGTAAAGTTAAGAAGAAGAGACTAATAATACTAAGGAATTATTGTTCTTTTATTTAGGAATAAAATGGGATTGTGGTTTTGTTGAAAAACAATAACTCATTTAGAGTTATATACTAAAATATTGCTAGATGAAATAATATGATGTCTGTAATACACTTCAAAATAACATGGGTGTGGGTGGTTAGAGGTAGGAATGGGGCAAGATTGGTTATGGGCTGGATGATGGATATTCTATTCTGTTTACTAGTGGGTATGTTCAAAATTGCACATAGTAAGCAATTTAAAAACTAGAATAAAAAAATTCAATGTATACATACTGCCTAATAACAATCAGATCCCTATCTGAAGGTTGTATATAGACTAATATCATTCCAGGAAAATAATACATCAGTTTATTAAGTACAAATGGAGAATATATGTCAGGCATCCTTTTAAGAGAACTTGACATAAATTCCATGAAGTGTGTTAATATTAACTACTGAGCAGTAGATCCAATGCCTAAAGGAGGTAATAATCTAATCTCTTTCTCATAACTATTTTTTTGTGTGTGCCAGGAGGAGATATTTTAATTTCAAGTTAATTATTAGGTTGGGGTAATCAGATTGACCAAAGTAACTCATAATTGTTCCATCTTCCCTGCACTTAGTAGTCTGCAGGCTCAGCCTTAGGATATTACCTTAGGCAGATGACAAATTAGGAATGAAGGCAATGTGATTGGTGCATGTGGACAGGAACAATGCTGATTTCTTAGGCCCAATATATCTGTCAGAACCAAATTAGAAAACTACTATGATAAATTAGACATAATTATAAATTTGATAGTTAACAGTTATCCTGATCAGTTTAAAACTACTTCATTCAGAATAATCACAAACTGTAATACTCTGATAAGATTATGGATATAGATGAATAATATAATTGATTAAGGATGTATTCCCCTAAGCAAGCCATGTTCTTTTCCACGTTCTTCTCCTTGTTCTTCTCCTTCTTCTTGGAACATTCTTCTCTCACCTTTTCTCATTCCCTTTTTGTCTCCGTTAAGTCCCATTTTTTGATGACACTAGGACTGAGAAAACTTCCCTTGCCCTCTACCTCCGCAGGTATAGGTTCAGTACCCCATCCATATGTACCAGAGTAACTAGCTTTGATAGGACTATTTTTATGAATATTGTTGAATAAGTGGGTAAATTAATTTAAGAAATATAGAAAAAAAATCTGTTCTTTTATATATAAAAAAATTGGTTAACATTTTTAGTGGGCAATTGTTAAGATGGCCCCTAATAATCCTCTTCTCATGGGATTCACACCCTGGAAGCTATCCCTCCCCTTGAGTGTAGGTTGGACCTAGCAACTAACTTCTAATGAATATAATATAGTAAAGTGATGAGATGTAACTTCTATGATTAGGTTACCAAAAGACTGTGACTTCAGTCTGGTTTGCCTGCTCTAGCTAACTTTCTTTGATAAAGCCAACCAATATGATGTAAGCTTTCCTGTGCGGAGGCCCACATAGCAAGGAACCAGTGTCTCTCACCAACAAGGAGTTGAGGCCCTCAGCCAAACAACCCATCTGGATCTGAATTTATCAATAAGCACATGAGTGAAAGCCAATCTCCCCATAGTCAAACCTTCAAATGAGGCTGCAGTCCTAGCTTCCACACCAACTGCAACTTTAAGCCAGAGGCACCAAGAACTAGAATTAATAAATGTTGTTTTAACTAAGTTTGGGAGTAATTTGTTATACGGCCATAGATAATTAATATAATATTATTTGCTTAAAAGTGACTATATAGTAATTATGCCATCAATTTTGTGCTAGGGCTTTGAAAGCATCAGATGTGGGACTATTAAATATAATGGCTGTGCACCTTTCATTCTTTGGACAAGACTTGAAATCTATTTCCTAGTCCTCAGCCGAGAGTCATCAATGTGTTGCCATTATTAACAATCAAATATGATATTACTATTACTAGTGGTCTGATATGCACAAGCTGGAAAGTTATTTAAATGCTCTAATTAGTATTGATTACCATGTGACTCTTGGCAATGGAATCAGAACATCTGAATTTGAATATTATTTCTACCATTTACAACCTGTATGAACTTGGATATATTTCCTGAAACTCTCTAAGTCAGTTTCTTCATTTGTAAAACATAACCAAACTAGAGGAATAAAGAACATTAAAGTGTCTATAGCCCAAAACCTGGCCCAGAAGAAATATGGAAAATATAATCATTGAATGTGAGTCTAAGAGTACTGTTTCTCATTAGAGTCTTTGAATTTAAAAATGAATTTGAAGAGATTCAAGAAATCTCAAATACAATTACCCTATTTAAGGTGGACAACAAAATGTTGAGAGAAAAGAGATTGTTCAGCCTGATTAAATATGAGATAATGTGTAAGTGTCATTTTATTTTAAAAAATATATCCTGACCAATTGTTTTTTATATTTGATAGAAAAAGAATCAGAATAGGGTAAATATACACAAAATATATTTATTGAATGCAATGTTGAGCTATATCTGGTTCTCTATGGATTTAAACTATTTTCAGAACAATCCAGTTAGTAAGATAGAACTCATAACTAGAAAAGTAATTAATCATCATTATATTAGACCAAAAGAAAAATACTAATAATCTTCATGTATAACACTGTAGAATCTTCATGCATCAAAATTCTTAAAAAGAGGACGAACTAACATCTTTAATACATTTTATTGTTTTCATTCAACATGTGGTAAGCCCAGTATTTGTCAGAGCTGTAGTCCAGGAACTGACAAGCTGACTGAGACATGGGCCTGCCCTCTTCCCTTTAGAATTCCACTAATGGAACTTCCTCTAACCTGACCTCCCTTCATGACTTTCTTTCTCCCTCGCCACCTTTATTAGTTGTTTTTTATTTGTATTTTGTTTAAATGCTTTTGAGCTTTATTTGTAGAATCAATGTTCTTTTTATTATAAGCTGCCTTAACAGATAACAGTAATTTAGATAATGCTGCATATAATGCCCTTTTGGGGGGAGCTGTCTTGTCTGATGTAGAATGTTTAGCAGCATCCCTGGACTCTACCCACTAGATGTCAATAGCAGCTCCCTCACCCGGTGATGTTCCTGTGTGCGAAATCATCCTGGGTTATAAATTACTGGTTTAGGCAAATTCTCCAGTAAACTTCCTAAAAATGCCAGCAAACTGCTATTAAGGAAAGCCTTACATGCAAGCTCTCAGGAGCAGGTTAGGACAGCAGGGAAGGGGCTTTCCTCTGATTGCACCAACAAGGACAAGTAGCAAGTTGTCCTTTTCACTGACATTTGCTACCGTGTGCAGTAGGAATTGATGTCCTCACTCTGCATATTCAGCCCACACAAGTTCTTAAACGAAATTGGACCAAGGCTGGCAGCATATTACATATCCTGTCTCCACTGGTGGGTGGGAGCTGGAATTAGTTTTGTTCCACAAGCCTGACAGTTGTTCTAAAGCACCATGTTTCACTTGGGAGCTTGTTAGGGCAGCACATTCTGGCCCTGACATCAGACCGGAGTCAGAATCCCCTGGTGGAACCCAGGAGCCCGAGTTTTAATAAGCTCTCCACATCACCCTTATACTTGCTAACCTTGGAGATGCACTGTTCTAGAACACACATGTGCCCTCCTGTGGCCTGTCCCATAGTCTCCACTACAGTTGCCTAATCTATTTAACTGGGC